CCAGCTCCCCCGAACCGCATCGGGGCAAGCTCGACGCGAAGGACTCCCCCCTACCTGTTGCAGCTCCTCCGAAGCACCGAGGGAAGGTTCCCAGTGTCCCCGGGCACCTCTTCATTACCGGGTAATTAGCGTGAGCAGCGGCAGCCTGGCAGGGCAGGGAGCTGGCACCTCTTGTCGCAGGGAGGGGCCTCAGCCACATCCTTAAGCTTTTCCTCGGAGGGAGCCCACCCCACGGCAGGACTGAGGGTCCCATCTACGCCCTGCGCAGGGTCCAGTGAGGACAAGAGGTGGCCCGAGGGCGTTCGTCCTTAGAGAGGGAAAGCGTCAGGTCCCGAACACAGGCAAAAGCATCGTTGTGGAGATCAAGGATTTATTTACACGTCAAGGAAGACTCTCATGCAGAGTCACATGAGGAGGAAAAACCAAACAAACCCAAAGGACCAAGTGATTTGCCTCTGCAATGCAAATGCTCCCGCTCCCCAGTGCGCCTGGCCACCTCGAAAGGTGGCACAATGCCTTCTCTCCTCCTTCTCTGCAAGGAGGAACTAAGGGCATGATTTTTTTTTTCGTTAACAGTTATCTGCACCACAGACAACACAATCTGAAAATAAAAACCGCTTTTTCAAAGAGATCGGCCCACAGGGAGGCGGATCACAGAGCACCCCTCGCTCTGCCGCAGGGGAAAGGTCCGAGGGGCAGCACGTCTAGTACTCGTCCAGGGTGTCTGCCCGCGGGACGGAGAGGCCCCGCTCCTTCAGCGCCTGCACCTTCAGCTTCTCCGACTCCTGCTTGGCCTGCTGCTCCACTCGCTGCTCCTCCAGGATCTCCTCGATGGAGACCTGCTGCAGAGGCGTGTCGCTCTCCTTCTCCAGGTCCTGCGAGAGAAACAGCCCGGTGAGCGCTGCGATGTGCAGCCCTGCTCGTGGGATGCTCCATGGGGCAGCTCGGGGCTGGGCCAACACTGCCTCTGTGGAGCGCATCCCTGAGCCTGTCTGGAGCGGCCAGAAGTCGGTGGGGACAGCAAAGGCAGTGGTGCCTGGGGTCAGGTCACCATGAACTCACCCGCTTGGTGCCACAGCGGAGCCACCGCCCTGGGCTGGCAGCAGGAGCCAGTTACTTACTATTTCCCCCAGCAGAACGACGTTCTCGCCTCTCACTACGAAGATGCCTCGCGGGATGTCTCCATACTTCTTGCCCACGTGGATGCGCTCCACAGTCTGGTGCAACACCAAGTTTGCTGCAGTGATCGAGAGAGAACACAATCGGTGTTCTGCTGTCTTTTCACGCTATGTCATCCCAGCCAGGCAGAAAACCCGAAGTGCCGAGTTGGGGGTCCCCCACTGGCAGGTGTTTGACCCATCACTTAAACGTGCTCCAGAAACGCCGCCTGCAATCACGCCCTTCCAGGCACAACCGGACCGAGGTCTCACAAACTTGACGTTGGCTTTGGCCGACGACATGCGCGTTCCCACCCGGGAGCGGCCTCCGCAGGGTCGGTGCTGTGGGCAGACCACACAACCGGGGTCTCACCGCGCCCGGATCCCCTTCTGAGCGTTGAGCCACCCTTTGGGAAGGGACCCGCTCTGGCGAG